GGAAAAAAATGCTAAAATCATTCTTTTCGATTGGTTTCAGAAGTTACATTACGCACTTTTTGGGCGCAATTTTGCTGCCTTTCCGTCCTTCACTGCCATGGTGTTTTCCCATCCGGGAGCTGCCATTTGAACAGAAGGAGCGGCAGGAGCAGGAGCAGCAGCAGGAGGAAAAGGTATATAAAATCATCCTTTTCTATGGGTTTCAGAAGTTACATTAGGCACTTTTTTGGGCGCAATTCTGATGCCTTTCCGTCCTTCACTGCCATGGTGTTTTCCCATCCGGGAGCTGCCATTTGAACAGAAGGAGCAGCAGGAGCAGAAGCAGCAGCAGCAGGAAGAGGAAAAAATTACTAAAATCATTCTTTTCGATTGGTTTCAGAAGTTACATTAAGCACTTTTTGGGCGCAATTTTGATGCCTTTCCGTCCTTCACTGCCATGGTGTTTTCCCATCCGGGGAGCTGCCGTTTGAACAGAAGGAGCAGCAGGTTTTCCCATCCGGGAGCTAGCATTTGAACAGAGGGAGCAGCAGGAGCAGGAGCAGCAGCAGCAGGAGGAAGGAAAAGGTAGCTAAAATCATCCTTTTCTATGGGCTTCAGAAGTTACATTAGGCACTTTTTTGGGCGCAATTTTGATGCCTTTCCGTCCTTCACTGCCATGGTGTTTTCCAGCAGCAGCAATAGCGCGGAGGAAAAAGTAGCGAAAATCATCCTTTTCTATAGGTTTCAGAAATTACATTAAGCACTTTTTGGGCGCAATTTTGCCTTTCCGTCCCTCGCTGCCATGGTGTTTTCCCAGCAGCAGCAATCGTGCGTAGGACAAAGTAGCGAAAATCATCGTTTTCTATGGGTTTCAGAAGTTACATTAGGCACTTTTTGCGCGCAATTTTGATGCCTTTCCGTCCTTCGCTGCCATGGTGTTTTCCCATCCGGGAGCTGCCATTTGAACAGAGGGAGCAGCAGGAGCAGGAGCAGCAGCAGCAGAAGGAGGAAAAAGTGGCTCAAATCATCCTTTTCGATGATCAGCCCTACGGATTTCGATTTCGCCATGACCAACCCTCATTCAAAAAAACCATGGTGGTTTCCGTAAATGAGGGTACCCCATTGAAAAAAACCACTTTAGATTGGGATTCTCCATGAAACGACCATTCAGCTATTGATGCTACTTGTATTGGGGATCCTCCATTTATGGAAACCCAAAAGGTTGGCTGCCACCTTGGCTCTGGAAAATCTCACCATTTTACATCCGTTCCATTGGTGCAAAGAAACCCAATGATGATTACACACACACACACCAAAAAAAGAAATGGGGTGCATGTGTCTCAAAAAGGAAGATGATACCCCCAAAACAACAGTTTGATAGATTTTGATATTGTAAGTATTGGAACCAAATTGGAATTGATGGACTGTCCAGCTATTGACTAGCTGACATTGCCGATCCTGAATATTTCAGCAGGCGTCCACTCTTTCACTTTGGGATTTAATAAAAAAGAATCCGTACCTAAGAAATATCATAAAATGAAAGAAAACAACAAGAATTCAGTATTATATAAGATTCTTAAGATGTAATTAAGTACAGTAGGGATCCAAACCATTGCACCCTGCTGTTCAAATTTGCCGTGGGATTCCTTGTGATCCCTTGGGCCCCCCGGCAGGCTGAGAACTCTGAATATCGAGAAACCGCTTATAAATGGTCGTACCGCGGTAGCGCAGAATCAACAGAATCGGAAAACAAACTTGCCTACTTGACCATTCTTCCGGGGTCGGCGGCAGGGGCGGCAGCCCTTAAATAATAAAATAATATAATAATGATTGAAATACTTAAACGCATTCAACTAAACACTAATCAAATCAAATTGCATATCAAAAAATACTGGAGTAACCTTTTTGAACCCCGAACTCAGGTCGTTCCCAGGCTTGGTTCTCAAACAATGCGATTCCGAGATAGATGCATCGCGAACTTTTCGAACCCAATCCCTGGCCTCCTATGTCCGAGAAATCAGCACTTCTCCGATCCCGCGTAAAAGATAGATTTCAAACCAGCAGAACAAAATGCCTTGTGCATCAACATGTGTCAGCCTCAAAGTAGTTAGCATCTGTCTCAATATTTCATCATCCACCAACTTGAATTTTATAGCATCTGTTGGTGTTTTCTATTTTTTCCCGCTAAACCACACCTGATGGTGGTCCACATCAGCAGCATCAGGCGAGAGCCCAACCATCCAAACCTGAGAAAAAGGTGCTCCTTGGCCCCAAATATGGGCGGAAACTGGGTCGATAAAGAGGCAAATTTTCATGTTTTTTCCCTCCAAAGTGGTTATCATGTATATACCTTAGGAATCCTTAGGAAAACAATTCTTGGATATCCTTATCCATCGGCCACTGAAACAGCCGAGGTTTGATATGGTTTGATGATGGGGGTTTCTTGTTTCCGGAGGTCTAGGGTATGTGCAAATCATGTGCTCGACATCTAACAAACACGCAAACAGCAATAGTCGTTACGGTGCTCAAATCGGAGATCAAAGTTGACAGGTGAATGTTCTCTGCAAAAGTGCGTCAAATCAACTGCACCATATCTCCGAAGACTACAAGTAGTGCCGCACAAGGCGGTGGCGGTTTCAAAAATAGGAAACCTATAGGAGAGGTTGGTTGTTGTGAATCACGGATGGCAGAGCGAATCCACTGATGGACCGACAGGTGGTTGGAGTTGTGTTTTTTGGAGAGGTTGCAATGGTTGCAGTGGTCACCTCACCACAACTGCAGCATGTAGTGTGGTGTAGTGCAGTTGTAGTTGTATTTGTAGTGTAGTGGGGTGTAGCGCAGTTGTAGTTGTAATGTAGTGTAATTAGCGTAGTTGCAAGTGCAGTTGCAGTTGTAGTCGTGGTGTGGTGTAATTAGTGTAGTGTAGTGTAGTGTAGTGTGGTGTGGTGTAGTGGTAGTGAAGGTTGTAGTTGCAGTTGTAGTTGTAGTTGTAGCGTAATGCAATGTAATCTGTCGTGTAGTGTAATGTAGTCTAGTTGTCATTGTAGTTGTAGCTGTGGTAGTGGTGGTGGTAGTAGTAGTAATAGTAGTAGTAGCAGTAGGAGTAGTAGTAGTAGTAGTAGTAGTAGGAGCAGGAGCAGGAGCAGGAGCAGGAGCAGGAGTAGGAGTAGGAGTAGGAGTAGGAGTAGGAGTAGGAGTACGAGTAGGAGTAGGAGTAGGAGTAGGAGTAGGAGTAGGAGTAGTAGTAGTAGTAGTAGTAGAAATAGTAGTAGTAGTAGTAGTAGTAGTAGTAGTAGTAGTGGTAGTGGTAGTAGTAGTAGTAGTAGGAGCAGGAGCAGGAGCAGGAGCAGGAGCAGGAGTAGGAGTAGTCGTAGTAGTAGTAGTAGTAGTAGTAGTAGGAGTAGGAGTAGGAGTAGGAGTAGGAGTAGGAGTAGGAGTTGTTGTGGTTGTCGTTGTCGTTGTCGTTGTCGTTGTCGTTGTTGTTGTTGCTGTTGTGGTTGTGTAATTGGTGTAGTGTAGCATAGCTAGACGTAATTAGTGTAGTGTAGCGTAGCGTAGTGTAGTGTAGTGGAATTAGTGTAGTGTAATGTAGCGTAGTATATTTACATTCGTAGTTGTAGCTGTAGTGTAGTGTAATGTAGTGGTAATGGTAGTTGTAGTTTTCTGTCTGTCTGTCTATCTATCTATATCCATCTATCTATCTATCTATCTATCTATCTATCTGTCTATCTGCAAGATTGAAAACGCAGCAATCTGCGAGACTTCCTCAGCTTTTGAACTTGACAATATCAAAAACGCAGCAATTCTGCAAGACTCCTCCATTTTTGAACTTTGTCAATTTTCAAAGTTGACAACACCAAAAACGAAGCAATTCTGCGAGGCTTCCTTCAAAAATGGAACGTTGAGTGCAGAGCTGACGGCCTAGTACCACTGCGTTTTGCGAATTGTCCATTCCATGTGTCTAAAGTAGTGCGCCTGCTAGGAAAAAGTGATGCCAGGCCATACGAAGTGCTGCACCTGTCACGCAAAATCATCTTAGCAAACCTGAAGATCTGATGCTCCAAAATGCAACCCCTCAGTGCCCTGACCTCCTACCAGTAACATCTCTGATGAACGTGTCTCTTGTACCGCGCTTGCCACGCGAAATGCATCTTTGCGGATCCTCTTCAAATGCCCCACGCCTGCCATCGTTTCTGGAAATGCTACAAAACCCTCACGTTTTGCTCACTTTTGACAAGGTGCACAATCCCTTGCGCCTGCCACGCGAAATGACATCTGAGCGTCCAAAAGTGGTCCGAAAACGTCGGTATTTTAAACATTTTCACTTGGCAGCTTGCTTCGCGCCACAACGGCGTGCACTTTTTCAACATCTCAACTTCCAAAAGTGCTCCAAACCTGGTGTGCTCTGCACATTTTGACTTGGAAATGTGCTTCGCGCAACAACGGCGGAGCCACAAATCATTGGAAAAACACAGTGTTTCGCGACTTTCCTACCTTTTAGCGCACCTGGATCTTCTTTCTTCTGAGACTTTCTCTTTTTTGATATTCGTTCTTCTTCTCTTCTCTTCTCTTCTCTTCTCTTTTCTTCTCTTCTCTTCTCTTCTCTGACTCTTCCCACCTCTGCTTTTCCATCTGTCCATATTGTCAGAAGTTTGGCTTCTAAACTTCCTTCCACTACACCCAGGAGAAAGCCATCCCGGACGGTCCACTATTTTGGGGTCGTCAAGGTGGGGTGTGACCCAAATTTAAACCAGGACGCAACCACATAAACCATACGATAAACTGTAACAAGCACCAGTGTCTATTATCCCAAAAAATCCATAATATGTTTCTCACGGGTTATAATAGTATTGTAATTCCCAAGCAATATTACAACACCGCGTCGTCTATCCCATTAAATTATATTATGAAAAATATCCAATTAATAAATTCATATATATATATTCAATGTTTGCGCAATTCCTCATTTCTGGCGGGCTTTCCTTCATTAAAAACCTGCAGACGCTACCAGGACTTCAGACATTGATGCGATACACCAGCGGCGGAGCCAGGAAGGGAGCTAAGTCCCCGGTCCTCTGGGGCAGGGCGAGGACCCTTCGGTGTCAAATGTTGCAATGCATCGGGAAATCCCTTCTGAAAAATGTAAAGATCATGGGAAAATATGAGAAATCCCCGAACCAAGTGGAGGCTCATAGCTGGGAAAATCATTGAACTAAATCGTGGATGTTTCAGCAAACCACGTTTGATTACGGCAGTGTAAGGTGGAAAACCCAAATCTTATTTGGATGTATTACTGGGTAAATAGATCTATATAAATCTTATAAATAAATCATATATTATATATATAATATATTATATATTATATATATTATATAATATATATAATATATATTATATAATATATATATATATATTATATATAATATATATTATATATATAAATAATATATATATATATATAATAAATATATATATATATAATTGGTGTCGTACTGTGTTTGTGAGATTTGGTAAATCTATGAAAAACGCATTTATATAATGGTTTTAAGACTTGGTTTAAGACTTGGTTTTTGATAGGGTATCATTTTGTTATACTCTGCAAAGCAAACAGAAATTTGTTCTACATAGCTGGTGGGCACACATCCCCCATCCAAGGTGTAGTGCAGTGAAATAAAGTAAGAAATCTTTGTTTTAATAGTTTTTTGGTCTGGTGTCTAAGTGGGTTTAAGGCTCCCCCATCCCCCTGGTATGTCATGTGGCTTCCAGGCTCGAAAGTGAACAACACATGGCTGGCCAGTTTTAGATGTGATGTTCATGTCAAAGCAAATTGAAACCATCCAAATCATCCAAGTAACTTGGGCAGACAGTTATTTCTAGATCATGGGTGGTAAATAATTAGTTGTTTTCAGTTCCAGCTTACCTCTTGGACCCATCCAAAGATTTTGGAATGAACGGGTTTGCCCGCATGTCCATCTTTTTTAGCACCACATCATATCCGGATCACCTTGTGATGGCTTAAAACATCCCGAATTATTGGAGCATTTACCATATCAATACATTGACTATTGTGGATGCAATAGTTAAGTATTGGGGCGAACTATCGAGGCATCCACATCATGTGCCAGAGCCCAGAGCAACTTGTTAACACACCGGGGCGTGCTTCCTTGGTTCTCCTGGACACAACCGTCATCAAGCATAGTATATAAAGCCAGAATTTGGGTTTCCAATGGCTTGAGATGGCTTGAGTGGTGATGGTGTGCTGGTCCCCCAAAATAATGCCAAGCCTGGCTTATCAAACGCGTAAGTTACTCAAAGGTCAGCCTGGGATGCGCACTCAGACATCTGTTTCACTGCCGGCAAAATCTCGGTATCAGGTTGACCTTAGCAACGGGGAGGAAAACCTGGACGGTTAAATGCATTGAATCCTGTTTTAATTGCTAACCTTAAGGGTAGCGCGCCAAAACGGTTGCAGCCAGATGGCGTAGTTCTCTAGTTGTGGACACTTCCAAGCCAAACATGTGTTCTTTTCGGCATTTCTTTGCGTGGAAACTAATACTCTCCCACAATGTGATTATATTAATATATATATATAAATATTAGCAAATGCATCTACCATCATTTCATCAAAAATATATCTGGCTAAATTTAAATACTTCACTAACCTGAATAGTTGGGCCATTTGGGGATGATTTCCCTATATATAATAAACCATGATTCCAGGCTTTGGTCGCAGTGAGGTCGTTATAATTTACCCACACCACTCGTATCTGAGCACCAGAACTGTATGCTGAGGGTGGCAGGTTGGGCCAGGAAACCAGGAACTCGCTCAGCTGCGCGGTGGCAGTCACGACCTAAAGTCGGGGACCCCTGGGACCCTGACTTGTGTCTGAAGATGGCAATGTTTCTAAAATAAAATAAAACATAATATGTAATTAAAAAACAAAAACATTCAAACTGATAAGAAGATCGGAGATCTTCCTGCTTGCATTTTCTGCAGAGAAATTTTGGCAAATTGATGTGAATTGATGCAAAATTATGTAAAATCTATAGCAAAGAAAAAATGAAAACATGTGAACAAAAACACTACAATACAATAAAATATGTTATGAATTCTCAAAAATTGAAACAAACCCAGTTTGGGAAACCAGGAAGAACTCATTGGGGGTACACAATTCTAGGCCCAAGGGAGGAATTAGAAGTTTTTCTGTGGTTCGGGAGACCCATCTACGTCAGGAATAAATGTATGTCTGATTGGCTGCTACGCAGGTATTAAATAAGGGACCGCGATGCTACTGACAACAACAGTTGAGTGGGAACTTTGGGACAAGCAATCTTGAAGGAGCATAATGCAAGGTGACAACATACACAAACATGCTGTAATCGAAATCAAACAATCTCTGGGTCCGTCAAAGAGATTCCCGGCAAATGTTCACCTCCAGTTTTCCTAGCATCTAGCCTGAAGGCAAGCTCAAACATACCAAAATCAGAAAGGGAACAAAATCCAAGTATACAAACAGAGATGAACTACATATCTACATTGCCGGGCTTCTTTGGAGGCAAATGGAAATTCTCCAATGCCAGTTCATTCAACTCTAAGCCATTTGACAACCTTCACCTGTGAAATCCCGGTTGTATGTCTTCCACGTGGACTTTCAGCTTCAACCACGTGAAATTGAAGTTCATTCCTCTACTCTAGGAGACTTTAGAAATAAACGAGACACAAGATGGGCCAGAGAACCCAAAACCAAGACGGCACACAGCGCGCCTTTGTTTAAAATCTTCTGGTGTGGGCAGCTGTGCCCTGCTCGAAATCGACGTAAGATCTTTACTGAAACATCGTGGGCACTGATGGTATCAGGGGCCGCAATTCACCACAGCATTCTGTGTTAGCTACGTCTACATTCTTCTAGTCGCTATTTCTGTTAATGTAACTAACTCCATCCCATCTTCTAGTCGCTATTTATTTCTGGGTTCTCGTTTAGTTTGCTTCGCCGCAGAGGGAGCGAGGACGAAGCGTGGACGGACAGAACACCGTGCGACATGAAAATGAAACGACGGAGGGAGTTGACCAAAAGAGCATGAAAGCGAACATGTGAAGATGACAGATGGTGAATGGTCATGAAAAATGAGACATGATGAAAGAGGGGTAAAGACTTCTATGTACAAGAGCCTCTATCCCTAGAAGCTACTGTGTGTAAACGCGTTTGTGCGTACAAGTTTCTTTGTGTAAAAAAAAATGTGTAAAGGATTTTTGTGAAACAACTTCTGTGTGTAAAAGCTTCTGTGTGTAAAAGTTTCTGTGTAAAAGTTTCTTTGCGTAAAAACTTCTGTGTAAGCGCTTTTTTGTGTAAAAACTTCTGTGTGTAAGAGCTTCTCTGTGTAACGGTTTTCCCATGTAAAAGCTTCTGTGTTTAAAAGCTTCCGTGTGTAAAGCTCCTCCGTGTGTAAACGTTTCTGTGTGTAAAAGCTGCTCTGTGTAAAAGTTTCTGTGTGTAAAAGCCCCTCTGTGTTAAGGTTTCTTGTGTGTAAAAGGATCTGTGCGTAAAAGCTTCACTGTGTAAAAGACTTCTTCTTGTGTCAAAGCCTCTGAGTGTACAAGCTTCTCTGTGCAAAAGTTCCTCTGTGTAAGCGCTCCTCTGTGAAAGAGTTTCTCTGTGTAAAAGGCTTCTCTGTGTAAAAGCCTATGTGTGTGTGTGTGCAAGCTTTTCTGTGTCAAGACTTCTTTGTGTAAAGATTTCGCTACGTAAAAACTACTCTGTGTAAAAGTTTCTGTGCGTAAAAGCTGCCCTGTGTAAACGGCTCCGTGTGTAAAGACTCCTCTGTGTAAACCCGTCTGTGTGTAAAAGCTCCTCTGTGTGAACGCCTCTTTTGTGTAAAAACTTCTGTGTAAAAGCGTCTGTGTGCAAAAGTTTCTGTGTGTACAAGTTTCTGTGTGTAAAAGTGTCTGTGCGTAAAAGCTTCTGTGTATAAAAACTTCTTTGTTTCAAAGCTTCTGTGTATAAAAGCTCCCCTGTGTGTACAAGCTTCGCTGCGTAAAAGCTGCTCTATGTAAAGGTTCTGTGCGCCGTAAAGTTGTCTGTTTGTAAAACCTTCTGTGTGTGAACGCGTCTGTGTGTACAAGATTCTGTGTGCAAAAGCTCCTCTGTGTGAAGACTTCTCTGTGTAAACGCGTCTGTGGGTAAAAGCTCCTCTGTGTAAACACTTCTCTGTAAACGCGTCTGTGCGTAAAACCTTCTGTGTAAGACTTCTCTGTGTAAAAGCTCCTCTGTGAAAAAGCTTCTCTGTGTAAAAGGCTTCTCTGTGTAAAAAAATGCAAAAGCCTATGTGTGTGCAAGCTTTTCTGCGTCAAGACGTCTTGGTGTAAAGATTTCTCGGTGTAAAAACTACTCTGTGTAAAAGCTTCTGTGCGTAAAAGCTTCCCTGTGTAAACGCCTCCGTGTGTCAAGGCTCCTCTGTGTAAACCCGTCTGTGTGTAAAAGCTCCTCTGTGTAAAGGCTCCTTTTGTGTAAAAACTTCTGTGTGTAAAAGCTTCTGTGTGTACAAGTTTCTGTCTCTGTGTGTAAAAGTTTGTGTGCGTAAAAGCTTCTGTGTATAAAAACTTCTTTGTTTCAAAGCTTCTGTGTATAAAAGCCCCCCTGTGTGTACAAGATTCGTTGCGTAAAAGCTGCTCTATGTAAAGGTTCTGTGCGCCGTAAAGTTGTCTGTTTGTAAAACCTTCTGTGTGTGAACGCGTCTGTGTGTACAAGAAAGATTCTGTGTGCAAAAACTCCTCTGTGTAAAGACTTCTCTGTGTAAACGCGTCTGTGCGTAAAAGCTCCTCTGTGTAGACACTTCTCTGTGTAAACGAGTCTGTGTGTAAAAGCTTCTCTGTGTAAGACTTCTCTGTGTAAAAGCTACTCTGTGGAAAAGGTTCTGTGCGTAAAAGGCTTCTGTGTGAAAAAAAACCTCTGTGTAAAGGCTTCTCTGTGTAAACGCGTCTGTGCATAAAAGCTCCTCTGTGTAAGGCTTCTCGGTGTAAAAGAAACTTCTGCGTGTGAAAGTTTCTGTGTGTAAAAGCTTTCCTGTGTAAAAGTTTCCTTGTGCAAAAGCTCCTGTGTGTAAAAACTTCTCTGAATAAAGGCTATTTTTGTGTAAAAACTTCTGTGTGTAAAAGCTGCTCTGTGTAAAAGTTTCTGTGCGCCGTAAGAGCCTCTATTTGTAAAACCTTCTGTGTGTAAACGTGTCTGTGTGTGAAAGCTTCTGTGCGTATAAATCTCGTTTGTGTAAGGACTTCTCTGTGTAAAAGCTCCTCTGTGTCAAGACTTCTCTGTGTAAAAGGCTTCTCTCTGAGAAAGCCTCTGTGTGTACATGCTTCTCTGTGTCAAGAATTCTCTGTGTAAAGACTTCTCTGTGTAAAAGGCTTCCCTTTGTAAAAGCTTCTCTTTGCAAAAAAAAACTTCTGTGCGTAAAGGCTTCTGTGTGTAAACGCGTCCTTATGTCAAGACTCCTCTGTGTAAACGCGTCTGTGTGTCAAAGTTTCTGTGCAAAGTTTTTTTGTTTAAAAACTTCTGCGTGTAAAAGCTTCTGTGTCCAAGAGCTTCTCTGTGTAAAGGCTTTCCCGTGCAGAAGCTTCTGCGTGTAAAAGCTTCTGTGTGTAAGAGCTTCTCTGTGTAAAGCCTTCCCCGTGCAGAAGCTTCTGTGTGTAAAAGCTTCTTTGTGTAAAGCTCCTCTGTACGTAAGCGTTTTTTGTGTAAAAACTTTGTGTGAAAAAGCTCCTCGTGTTAAGACTTATCTGTGCAAACCTGTCCGTGCGTAAAAGCTCCTCTGTGCAAGACTTCTCGGCTTCTCGGTGAAAAAGTTTCTCTGTGTAAAAGCTTCTGTGTGCAAAAGCTTTCCTGTGTGTAAACACGTCTGTGTGTAAAAGTTTCTGTGTGTAAATCTCCTTTGTGTAAGAAGGACTTCTCTGTGTAAAAGCTCCTCTATGTAAAGACTTCTCTGTGTAAAAGACTTCTCTCTGTAAAAGCCTCTGTGTTTACAAGCTTGTCTGTGTCAAGACTTCTCTCTGTCTGTAAAGACTTGTCTGTGTAAAAGCTACTCTGCGTAAAAGCTTCTGCGTGTGGAGGCTCCTGTGTGTAAACGCATCCGTGTATAAAGACTCCTGTGTAAATGCGTCTGTGCGTAAAAGCTTCTGTGCGTAAAAGTTTCTGTGTAAGCGCTTTTTTGTGTAAGAACTTCTGTGTGTAAGAGCTTCTCTGTGCAAAGGCTTTCCCATGTAAAAGCTTCTGTGTTTAAAAGCTTCTGTGTGTAAAGCTCCTCCGTGTGTAAACGTTTCTGTGTGTAAAAGCTGCTCTGTGTAAAAGTTTCTTTGTGTAAAAGCGTCTGTGTGTAAAAGCTCCTCTGTGTGTACAAGCTTCTCTGTGTAAAAGCTCCTCTGTGCAAAGACTTCTGGTATTGAAATGCTACCAGGTACCACCCCAATTAAACAACCCCATGGGATGTGTGAATCGGGCGTCAACATTGATCCACGAACCTGGTTTCTGGGTTCCCCGCGTCACTGCTGCTAGGTGGTCTGGCGATTGCAACCTGGGGACAAAGGGCGGCGTGCCTCGCTTTCACTGACCTCCTACGACAGTCTACATTTATGAAAAAGATGTTTTATCATCTCTCTAGAGTGGTTTAATCTTTGCTAGCTCTTTTTGGGATTTTTAGGAAATACACGGAAATACGCACTTTTGACCCGCAGCCAAATCAATAGACACCAACGGAAAAACCAACGGCCGGACATCTCACACCCCGAGGCAGAAGGATGGGATTGTTTGACAAACCATCCACAACCACAATGTGACACCTATGGAAAAGATAGCTGTGGAAGATTGAATCAGTCTTTCCCTAAATGCGTCTAGAAGAAAATCATAGAAACACACCCAACAAGTGGTGTACAGTAGAATTTCCTTCAAAGAAACACAGTGAATGTTGATTTTTGTTGCTTATATCATCTTAAATCGAGATGCTTCTCCTTTAACTACCTCTGATTTTTGCAAGTTACCTCATGTTTTTTGTTTTTTGTTGCGCAATAATTACATATTTTAAGTCCACACCCATTCTTGGATGATTACATCACCATGTTTGTTGTTTTAATCACCATTTATTTGTTTATTTCCCATGAAATTGCTGCCAGCTTACTCACATGTTTGACTGATAAATCACATGAGCATTTAAACATAGCATTATCCCATCTCTTTATACTAGTTGGTTGAAAACCGTTTCCATACTATGGGTTAGAAAATAATTCCCAGTAAATTAGGCAATATAAGTTCCTATAGTAACCAATGAACCATGGTATTTTCAATGGCTCACATGTTGTAAACTAACATAACTTTGGAAAAATCACCATGTCTGATAGGTAAATATCAACCATAACTTGCTATTTTCAAAAAACTATGTCTGATACCATGGGATACCTATATATAAACCATAGTTATTTGATATAGTAGTAAGCTAACATACCATATATCTGGGTAAATCATACTACTTCACTAACCTGAATAGTTGGACCATTTTGGGATGATTCCTCTTATTAACCATGATTCCAGGCTTCGGTCGCAGTGAGGTCGATAGAATTTACCCAGATATATCGCTATTTTAGTTTACCGGGGGGTAAATCACCTGTTGCTGGTTCCCGCGGTTCCATTCTTCACTGAGGGCTACGACCCAGTGGGGTGGCTCCATATCGCCCTCTTGCCTGGCGAGCCATGGCCGAGGCCGATGATTGACCTTTCTGAAACATTGGTGATTTGCCTATGAAAAATGGTGAACACATCGTGCTTTGCCTATGACAAATTGTCAAAAGAGGTGATCTATCTATGAAAAATGGTGAAACATAGTGATTTATCTATTAAACTTGGAAAAGAACAGGTGATTTACCTATCAACAATTGTGAACCATGGTGATTACCTATTAAAAGCGGTGCAACAAATGTGATTTACCTATGACAAATTGTCCACAGAGGTGATTTATCTTTGAACAAATGTGAAAAATAGTATTTACCTATTTATTAAACATGGTAACAAAAAAACAATTGTGAAACCTGGTGATTTACCTTTGAAAAATAGTGAAAGATGGTGATTTACATCATAAATTTTAAAACCATACAGAAACCATCTATTTTTATGGCTACAAATGAGATTATCATTCCATAAATGGGATGACTTACTGACTTATAATAATTGGTATTTCGGGCCATATTTCGTGTCCATCTTTTTGGGGGTTACTATATAGGAAATAGGAAATATGCAAACAAAAAATACCCGAGGATACATCTGAACATAGTTTCTTCACTTGTGTGGGTACTGACCTATCCAAGACATGTATGATCCGTAGACTGTATTCGTACATATGTATACACACATATTCAATTATGTACCCTCTGGTACACGTTTACATAACTATGGAAAATCACCATATTTAATGGGAAAACTCACTATAAATGGCCATTTTCAATAGCTATGTTTGTCATTACCAGAGGGTACAATACTTGTACCCCCCAGATATGACCAACTCTTCCCTGTCACTTGACCCAAGCAGGACAGCAGGACGTAAAGGTCAGCTGCTCCGTGAGAGCTTTGGACAACTCTACGGACTCAGCAGGTGAGACCTGATGCGGATCTCCACAGGCAGGGAGAACATCACCTAATTGTTGGTTATATAATTATATATATAAGGATATAAATGTTATATATTAAATTGTATTATATCAACATAATTCAGGATATATTATATACTATACCATTATGTCCCCATTATATATTATTATCTTCATGTATGGCTGGTTATACCACTAAAGCAGGGGACCATAAGATTGGACATATCTCAGTGTTTTTTCACTGGATATACCGTAGAGAACCATCAGTTGCTGACCCTCTCATGCTGGAAATGATGATCAACCATGAATTTTTTGGGACCCTATCTCTTCAGACAAAACCATTTGAACAAAAAACAGTTACTGCACCAATCTTGGGCATTTGAGGGCAACGTCATGCTTAAAAGCATCAGATGTCCACAAACTCTTTAAACATAACATGATTCTTGAAAAACCAGCCGATGTTTAGGTTCCCGCGTTTGGATGTTGGTGAATTTTCTCTGTTTCCCAACTGTTCGCCGCACACAAGTCTACCTGAAACCCTTGAAATGTGGTTACTGCAATGCTCGACGCTGAGGGTCCTACCACGTCCGGCACATCCGTCAATGCCCTGGGTGGAACCGGTGCGTGCTGCTCTTGAGAGCAGGTGGGTCATTTTTTCCAGCAAGACCAGCCATTCTTGGTTGTACCATGTTGTACCCCAATCCAGCATCTGCTAAACCGAACAGGTTTACCCATTTCCATCATTTCCAGAAATCCAAGTAAATGTTGGGTTGGGGTACAACCATTTCCATCCACCATTTCCATCATTTCTATCCATGTACCCCAATCCAACATTTGCCGGAAATGGATAGAAATGGTGTCAACATGCCCAAAAAACATCCACGATTGGAGGTTTATGGCATTCGGTTCATCACATGTACCAAATTGGCAGGCATGCTTCCGACCTTAGATTAAGTTGGGTCGGACAGATACAATTGAAGATGTCAAAACCTGATATGTCCAAATGCACGTCAAAACATACAGATATAATATATATGATATATCAACAAAATGTGCGTATTTACTGCAGATTCACCTGTTGTTGCTACCCCTAAGTTTCCTGGTTCAAGACTCTCTCTTGAATCTCAACCTGCTTATTGGTGGTTTCAACCCATCCCAAAAATATTGACCGACTGGGATTGTCATTTCAGGTATGGTATAATAGAATTTTTGTGTATATATATATACACATGATGTAAACATTCAAAGGTACCACCCAGTATATTCTATCATGATGTATCATGTATATTTCTCCAATATGTGCTATACCCAACTTGTTGTGTCACTGGAGACATGGCCATCAATCATAGATATTTATTAGACCAATAAAACCAACATGTGTATATGAACTATCAATGGGCAATCATAATTTTCATATATATATATCCCAAACATATGTGTGTGTTATTATAAATGAGATATCCTGACAATCCCATTGTTTTTCAATTGACAAGAGATTAACATTGTCTATTTGAGGTATATCCCATTATCAGACAAACCCATATTGCTGTCTTATTACCTGTTGATTGGGATAAACAAATCCGGATTGTTAAGAAAAAACACACCATATATATATAACTTGAAAAAAATGCAAGTTTCTTTTCCATGATTTCCCTTGCCAACCGGCATTCCAGCGAGGTCGCTATCCAGTCTTTGGGAATTACTGATCTCCGCCTCTGCAGTTCATCCAACTCCACAGGGCAAGTGGTTACGATCTTTGGCCTTACAGCCCGGAGGAGGGAGATCTCGGAAGAGGACTTCATGCAGATTTGCTGTTGACTGCCTAAAAATAGTTGTGTATTACCCTCTGATAAATTAACATAACTATGGAAAACCTGGACGCCCTCAAGTAGTTGGTGGGTCATCCTTCCCCACTCCATAGTGTTAAATAGTTGCCAGAAATTACTTCCAAAATAACACAAATGTGGGCAACTATTCCAGCACCATCAAGCATATGGGTTAAAATGCTCAAAGCAAAAGCAGAAGGATGTCTACCGTAATTGTGAGGTGGTAGGCAATATCACATAAAAGAATCGATGGGAAAACAGCAATGGCATCACACAGCGAATGATGGAAAATCGCATTCAGGACGCGAACGATACCTGTTGACTGTGGGACACACTCATCATGCAACAATTCTGGTTGGAGATGCACATGAATCACATGATATGAATCCAATAAATGTGTGGCGTTAGTACATACATTATATGTATATATATGTATATATATGTATATATATATATATATACATATGTATATATATATATAATATGTATGATTTAACCTGATTTAACCCCAAAGGTGAAGAGATGTCACCTTTGGGCAGGTCAAATTGGTCCATGATGTGCCAAGCCACTCGACTGCGAAGCAGCAACGAGCAGAAGGGGGTGACCTCAGTTGCCACTTAAGTAACAGGTGTCCATGTGTAGTTGGGGTTATGGCTACCCCGGGCCAAAAAATAGTCTCTGGTTGGTGGTTGAGCCCTACCCCTCTGACAAATATGAGAAGGGGTCAGTTGGGATGATGAAATTCCCAATATATGGAAATTCATAATCCAGTTATGTTCCAAACCACCAATCAGGACTTATTCATAAGTGGAAGGTAGGCCATCAGTGTTCGGGTTTACCCCATGGATCCCCACCGTTCCTTGTTTGTTGCTAACGTGGCTTAGTCAAATCACTCCACCAAAACAAACATCGTGGATGTTATAAAAATCTATGATAGCCTGATAGCCCTATATATAATATATACAACTATGGTTAATGGATGTTAATGGATGTTAATGGGCTTTATAAACCAACTTACAACATCCCAGAAAGTCTCCAGCCATCTGCCAGCCCCTTTTTCTGGGCCATCCAACCACTCGCTCCATCGGTACCCGTCGGAGACACGCACTGAAAACCTCGTGGTCTCAGCAGATTTCAAAAGAATCATCAACAGGCCACTCGATTTCCGGGAGTTTGCCTTATATATATATGATATGTATATATATATATATATTAAATATATATATATATATATATATTAATTATATTTATGTATGTTCATGTATGTTCAATGTTTTTGGGGGAACCATCTTCGTGAACAGGAAAGTCGGTTGAACACTTTGGATATCTGCCGATGTACAGTGCAGTGGTTGAGCTGGAGGCCCCTTCGATGATCCCTGCACTGCATGGTCGAATGGCTGGATGATTTAGGGTTAGCACCATGACTTAAAGGAACCCCCCATGACCCCATGTGTTTATAAACTAGAAACTCCCACAGTTTGCCAACTCATCCCCAAATCATCCTTCCATCCACTTCCCAACCTTACTAGCCATAGATCCTACTGTAGAAATGCTGACAGCAAGTCCTTTCGTCCCAGCAACACAAACACTTCCAGGTGCAGGGAACTGGGCTTCTAACCCCCTAGTGAAATCTAGTGATTAATGATTAGTTATTCCAATCCCTGGTTCCCTATTCCATAGGGATTCTCATCATCAGACAATATTAGTTATACCATGTTATACCCCCTGACCCATCTTATCAGATGAATGAGTATCAACTATTCGTGGCATTTGAGTCCACTGGGATCATCATCCAATAAGATATGTGAAGCCAACAACTGTTGTTACATATTATAGCCGTCTTTATTCTCAACAGAAGTGCGGGTTTGAAGTTTCAATCTCTAGGTCTGGGACTGGTGCATCATGGAGCCACTTAAAGCTAGAATGGAACCCTCAAAAAAACTGGAACTTTTGCTGCTGGGGCTGCAAAGCTGGGTACCCCATCCACATGACCACTCCCCCATATCCATGGGAGAAAACCCGACCTACCATGGTTGCTGAAGCCCTCTCCGCACTTGGGCCCGGGCTCGTAGGTTAGACACTCCTCGCAGCGGAAGGCTCCAAAGGCTTGGCGTGGCAGGACCGAGTTATTCAGTTCCTGGCGCTGAGCTTCACAGCATGGCAGGGAGTTATGGGATTATGGATCAAAGGGTTGGTTTTGTTGGGAAAATCTACAGGAAACATCAGGTTTTTACCATCAACTCTAGGGCGGAAACCATGGGTTTCCGGTTAAAATTCTCCCATCATCCAATTCTGTGAGTGGATGTTCATCCCAAAAAATGGCACTTATAAGTTATATGTATTATATGTATTCAATTTTCATGGGACATAGTATCGGCCATAAGGGGAAGATATACGAAAATCTGTGCGTTGAACAACAAAGAATGGTTCATTCGACAAACAAAAATGGAGAGTTGAACAATAATACATGGAGAGACCAACAAAAGGAGGATTTATCTGTGTGAACGAAAAGTCAACCGAACAATATATCATATTATATTAATATAGATACTTTGAAAAATGGGGACTTGCTCAATCATCCAAATGTATTCAAACATTCAGATTCAACATGATTTTACCATGTTTCAAATGGGAAGCTGACATAAGCTGACCATCAAGAATGCAATGTTCACCACCAAAAATAGAGATTTGATCAGGTATATCCTCTGGCATCTAAAAATCAGCCATCAGACATGGGTTTCCTGTTACACAATTTTCCCAGTGGCGAGCCATGCTGACTTAGAGGAGAGTATCCCCAAAGTTTCCTCGCATTCTCTTGGCCCTGGCTCTCCCCAAACTTATGTCTGTTGCTTCACCATGTAAAGGAACATGAACCAGGGATCTCTCCCAACCAAGGAAAGAAGACAATTATCTAACCAGACAGGTAAGAAATGGGTAAGAAATGGGAAAACGCATCATTTTTAACATGTTTGTCCCCTTGAGGTATCTTCTGGTAATGGTTTACCATGGTTTACCTGTTGGATCAAGCCATCTGCGGAACTGATGCCCCGGAACCGGCCTCGGGCAGGATGCTGTCGTCCAGCAAGTGGCAAAGGTCAAAGCTGTGCGGCGCATGGGTCCCGCAGCTCGTCCTCCAGAACTGGCCAGGCCTGTGTTTTTGTTGAAACATCAACTGCTTAATACACATCTTTAAACTATGTATATATATATATCATATATAACTATGCAATTGTATATATATAATATACATATAATTATATATATATATATTATACAATATATTATAATGTATTAAACATACGAGTACGAATGTATAGTGTTTTAAGTTTTAAGAATAGTTCTTCAATGTTCTTCCATGATCTGAAAAATCATGTTGAGCATCTAAAATCAACACAAAAACGATGTAAGATGCGACACTGCCATCACTGCTATCCGGAAAAATCCCTGGGCCCCTCCTCCGAAGTGTGACCGGCGGCACGGTGCGTTTCACCTGGCACCAGGTCACCCAAACGGTCGGTCACCGCGGCCCGAGATGGTGAAGATTCGCCCACAGAAAGGAGGCGATTGATGCTTATTCTGGTTAGATATGGATATGATATGGATATGATATGGATAGTAAATGTTAGTTTTTTTCTTTTTAAAACAAAAACATGCATCACAAACTGACAAATACTGACAAATACATGGGACTACAACCAGCTCTGGATGATTGGTGGTTGAGCCACCCATCTGAAACATGTGCTCCTCAGGATCGTCATCGTAGGCTTGAACATGGGGAAAAACAACGATAGTTGAAACTTCCAAACCAAAGCATACTGGTCGGTTGACGTTGGTTTGAACAATGTTGTCCAATCATCAGTTGGTAGCGTTACCAATATCCTGTTCGGATCTGGAACTAGTGCAAAGAGATCAACCACCATAGCATCAGTTGGGGATGAACGTAAACATATTCTTGTTAAACCGCCACCCAGCAACCAAGAAACCCGGAGCTACAAATGAATAAACAATAATAAAAAAGGGATGGATGATGGGCTCGAATCAGGTGATTGATCCTCAAACTCTTACTGGGTGGTAGTGGAACTAACAACAGCCATAATCAACTTTGGTTGGCGATTTTATGAATAATCAATCACCCCAAGAAATGACCCCAACATACATAACATACCTCAATAAAATAGATGCTCAATACATGGTATACGAAGCCATTATCAACTTATGTTCGTGCTTCTTGGTGGCTCAGAAAGCCAACAAAGAGTCATTGGCGCATTGGCGGGTCGCAGGGTCTTCAATGTTGACACCCCCGAAAAATGGCTGAGAAGTCCTGACTGGAGCTCGCAGCTTGCGTCAGCATTTTACTTCCCAACTAATATCATCTGATTATCCCAGATAAAGCTGTTGATACGCCATCTTTTTCTGGCACACAAGCTCAGCGCCTCAACATCAGGCCCACAATGGACCGCTCTGACTGCATTGTAGTTCGTCTCAATTCACTTGTGGGTGGTAAATTCACTATGGCTGCAGAGGCACGCAAAGAAATCTCATTTTCAACCTCCGTGAAACTCCGGAAGCGCACAATCGTGTCTCCAAGCTGGCGACTGGCTGAGTTGTTTTTCTCGGGGTATCAAGGAACACGCAACTTGCTACTCAATCCCCTCCTGCAACTGTAGTTGAGCAAGAGTTCTCAATGGCAAAGATTCTTGTCAACAATTCATCAAATTGATGATATCTTGAGTGCCTCCCGGTGCACACCAGTACATTGAAGCTGATGCACACCGGATCTACACAGCAAGGTCCACATTTCGGACCAAAGTTCCTCAAGAATCCCAGCGTGTTCGGATACCACTGGAAATCATCAAAGCCCAGTGGTTTCGCTGAAACCAACCACCATTTTGGAGGATTTGATGCACCTGGGGGGGATTCCACTGGCTTTCCAAGTTAGGGATACAAGCTTTTGCGAGACAAAGATCAGATTGCATACATTTCCCGCAGAAATTCAGGTTTAAATGCATGTGGCTTGAACTCTATACTTCAGCAAAAACAACATTATAGAAATTTATAGAATATGATTTGGTTTGATGCATCTTACCCAAACTCACAGGGAAATCCCAAAGAAAATGAGCACCAAAAAACAAATTGTCGGATAAGATTCCTGGCAGTCATTTGCCTGTCTTGAAACTTCTGGGGCTCGACTCAGAAAGACTCGCATCCTCCGCTTTGACCTTACAGCGAAGGTGAAATGTGCTGCTTCGTGGTGCCCAACATCTGTTGGGATCATCCCAATCGTTGAGTATGTTCCTGTCCCATTTGAAAGAAAACTGGCGCAAGACAAGAACTCTTCATGTCCATTCTCTGTCCTACGATGTTCACATTTCTGTTGACGTCAACAAGCTTTCAAGGTGCACGGGTCACGGGTCCAAAACAGGTCAAACAGAAATATGCTAAATACATCTTTACGAGCCCCAATGGCGATCTTCTGTTCATAGTCTGTACTACACATAGATCTGGACAAATCTTAGTAAATCCCAATTCAACAATAAACTAACTGTTGGAATCCGTACTAACGATCATTTAGAGGGGGGTCATTGTGAGGTTGCTTTAATCTCTATCTGCATGCGTGAGCATATGTGCAAGAGTGTGCAAGAAACATAAGGACCATGAAAATGTACATGGGTGAGGTTTTGAAGGTCAGGAAATTCCACTTCGTTCCACTCCACCGCCTGCTCTGTTCGTCCTTTTCTGGAGTTTGCCACAAGCTTGGTGGCCAGGTGGCAGTCACGTCATAGGGAGAAAGTAACTGACCCATCTGAAGAAATCAAACCTCAGTGGTGGAGTCGTGTCATGCGTCAAAGATATCCCAGACTGGGACAGTTGGACAAAGGGAACTGACCAACCCACCAAATTAATTTCAATGAGGGCCAGACCCACTCCACAAAAACAGGATACTGAACTACCTGCTTGAAGTTGATAGGTGCTCTGATATATGTTATTGATGTTGTTATGAACCACCGTGCGTGTGCGTGTGTCTATATCCATTTTGGATCATTAATTGGATGAACATTCCAACATGGTCCGTGACATTGACGCGTGCCCTCCGCCCGCCAAAAGACAGTCGTGGGTATGGCCCTTCTCTGATTTCCCTGCCACCACTTTCTGTAAATCTTCGAAGTCTTTCTGATTCGCCTCATCCAGGTCGGCTCGAACATGCGCCTTTTGCAAAAAAATGATCAAGGTCAGTTACAGCCAGTTGATTGACATAAACTGACCAATTAGTTACAGTCAATTAATCCAACTTTTTACAGTTGTTAAAACAATTTGGGTTAACGTTGTTCGACATCGTTCAGCCTCCAAAGTTGGATTGCTCAGTACTCAGAACATCTCATGCTCAAATCCATCGGTCAGCCACGCACACTTGACCCGCTGAAATCCACATGTTTTACACGTTTCACTCTTTGTGGCAAACAAGGGAAACAAGAAAAAAAACATGTTTTTTCTGTGTTTTCTCAAAAATACCAAACACATCTCCATTTCTTTCCAATTAACTCGCCAGCTTTCTTCAAACAAAGCAGACTTCTTTCCAAACTAAATCCATTTGGAGCAGCCCAACTTCCCGCCTTGAGCTGGAGCTGATGTAGCAGGCCCTCTCGCTCCACCTTGCCCCGATCGTCCAGGCAAGATAGCTTGTCTTCCTTAGCCGGACCGATGCCATCTCAGTGAAACATCTGGGTGAAGGATTTCGACCTCTACCCGGAACGGATTTTTATTTCAAGACTTCTCATTTCCTAGCATAGTGCTCTGTAGGAGTAATTCCCTGATCATGTTAGCAACTCTGTAATTTCAGTAGGAATCTCTCTTGGCTTTGATTCAAGCGAGTCATGAGGCACAGCGGCACACCCAAATTTGAGACCAAAATTACCGCACAGAGATCGAGACACCGCATCGAGTCTGTGCGGGAAGTTGGCAGAATTTTGAACCTTTACCGTCCACCACATTTGGGCATGACTCCATATGCTGGCACCCTGCTGCTCACTTCGCACAAACATTTAGTCTAGTCTTCACTTCACCCATTTGCATTCTTTTGTATGTAGTGTCTACAGTACATTTGGGAAATCTGTTGATTGTTGTTGCTTCATCTGGCACCCTACTTTTGGATGGTTTTCGGATCCTCAAGATCTACACAGTTTCATTGACTGTGTATGTTTTGATATTTGCAATCCAACAAATTTGCCAACTCTTCCCATACAGTATTCACCCCCAAAACATCATCAACAAACTAGCAAAATCCAAACATCATCCAATATCATCTAAGCAGTGTTCAAAACCCTGTGTCGCCAACTATATAATCATCAATCAACCGTCATTTATCAGTTGTATCCACTTAATATGTATATATCCCCATATTTTGACGCTTAGAACCTCTATTACCAGAACATAATCATCATAATCCCCCTATAATCAGCAAACAACATTTTAACAGGCCGGGTATATTGGTTTGCATATTGGTTAAAATGTTGGTGCGTATATTGGCTCGTGTATCTTTCCCCCAGAAATCCCTGGGTCTTCATCCCAAAGCCACGACCTGACTGCCAAGTTTCCGCCTCCTTCAGGCGCTTCACCAAAGTGATTGGTGCCTTCACAGGCGCGCCCGCGCTGGCCGTTGCCGTCACTGGCTCGGAAGGCGCGAGCTGGACCAATGGCGCCACCTGGAAATCCATCGAACGAAATTGAAACGAAATGGGAAAACATCAATGATTTAAGGATTGTTGATTTAACAGGTTTCTTGATTAATCACTGATCAAATGGTACATGTTTTTATGGAACAATGTTCCCAAAACATATGTTTCATGATTTTTCTATGGGACCATGTTTTTGGAACATAATCGAAAAATTGTCGTTTTTTCCGGAAGATAACATGGATTTCTGCAGTTTTTTTAGCTGCAGGTATCGTACAGGATGATGATACACATGATAAATCATGATAATATAATGCAATATAAAACAAATATAAAATACAATATAGTAGAACATAATAAAAAAAATAATACCCAAAAATATATAGTATAATCAAATCTAGTAGTATAAAATATGATAATATATCATATTAATAAAAATAATATGACATAATATAACATAATATATATAATATGATATGACATGATATGATACGATATAAAATAATATGATTTAATAGAATATATTCTTAAGAAATGTCATAATAATAAAAAATAAATATAGTATTAATGAAACAAAATAAATGCAATATGTTTAAAACAAAAAACATGAATCATTTAATAAATTACAACATAAACTAACATAACATAATATGATGTAAATATGTATAAATCAAAATATACATACAATATCAATAAATCAACAATACATTAAAATACCATATAATAGTAATACAATATGATACAGTACTAAATGTATATGGTTAAAAAAAGAAATATATAATAATGTTTCAATGTAATAGTTGAATATCAATCAAATAGTAATATAATATAACACATATTATCATAATAAATCTCAGATAATATAATATAGGATAATACAATATATAGAAATATAACATACATATAATATAATCTAATATACAAATATGTATATATATATATATATTCAAGTCGGTTCACATATACATGTAGAGGTCCACAGAACAAATACAGACAAACTTTGTATGTACATTATATATATGATATGACATTAATAACATATAATAACATCATGCAGAATCATCTATGGTAACATATACTATAATGCAATATAACAAACCATAACACAATGTTAAATCATATTGTAATATATATTATACTATAATTAAACTATGATATAGTCATAGATGCATGTAGAGGTCCCAAAACAAACAACATACAAAAAAATGTATATTATATATAAATTTGTACATATTTTATTATGTCTGTATATAAACACACACACACAATTTGTCCTTGCCTTTGGAGGAGGAGGCGTTGTCTGCACCGGTGAATCATCTTCCCAGATCTGCCTGATGCGGCTCCGTTTTTTTAAAATCTAACTATTCATTGTCATGTGTTTAAGTGTAATTTACATGCACTTATTATCTGAACATAAATTATATGTACGTGTTTGTATATATATATATGTATAAATGCACATAAAGGCTCTTTGAGAGAGCGGGCCAGGGCCAGTAATCTGTTTGTTCTTGGTTTGGTAGTGGGGGTGGTGGACACTACCGTGAAACCAAGCTCCACATGCGGTTAGACCCCCACAAAATCAGTTCCAGCACCAGTCAATGACTGAGTCAAGGGTAGTTACGACGCATTCACGGGTAGTTGCCAAACAGAGAAGCACCGCCCACTCCCGGTCCTCTGCAAAGAGGTCACGTCTTGTCTGCAATGATTCAGGTTTTCGTGGCACATGGAGGCGTCCTAGCCAGTCTGGAACCATGGTGTAGGGCTGAACCACTTATACAACCCCTATCTATATAAGCACCATTCAAGTGGTGTTCCGAGATACTTCTTTGATATGCATGAGTTCTCATCCCGTTCTGGAAATGCATTGGGCTCTGTGCAGCTATTTGGCAGATGGGTCAGCAGGTTTGGCAAATGGGTCACAAAATGACTTCACCCCAATCATTCCTGTGGACCATGTTGAACCATGTTGAACCCCAGCCCCAGTTTCCTTTTGAAGATTGCCCAAAGCTGCCTTTGGTGCTCGGCAAAGGAGGGCGAACACTTCAAGAGGCCAGTTCGATGTTAATGGACCAATGTTTTTTCTAATTTATATAGAGATGTTAACTGACCAAAGATCATGCTTACTTCTGCCGTTTTGATATGAATGAACAATATACCGGTGTATATATGTAATATTATTGCATTTGGACATGTACAAACAACTGTATCAATAGACAAAACAAACCAAGGACATGGAGTAAAAACATGCCAATGGGGCAGGGTTAAACAATATCAATCGACGGTCCGAGACTTGTCAAATTCACCATCAAAACATATTTTTTTTGAACCATCCCTCGCATCACTTTCTTGGAGATCACCGCCCGTTTTTTGGTTCAAATTCTGAATCTTACAAGTATTCATTCATCTCACCATGTTTGTCGGTTGATTACCAATGCGTATCATTTATGCTGGTGTTTGAAGCCGCAACTTGGTTGCTCAACCCACATGTCTATCATGTC